CAACGAGGCCTCATGGGCTCTGTGTTACATCCCACAGAGCACAAGAGCTGCTTTGGGCTCCTCTGAGCTCCAATTTAGGGACAAAAACAAAATCCTGAACTCCTGATAGAGCAAACTGAGAGAAGACCAGTCAGCCTCATTTCAACACCTAGTCCATTAGCTACTTCAATCCCAGGCTAATGGCCAAGAGGTGCAACAGTCCTGCATCGAGCCTTTGAAACTCACTTCAAACAACAGCTTGAGCTCTCCTACACCCATTTGCTACCTGACATTGAACAGTGCAAGATGAATGACAGCCTAAATAGGCCAAGAAACGTCTACCACATGAAATACAGCAACAGCACCACTGCTGCAGGCCTGGCTGAGAAGAGGGATCACAGCACAAGTAGCACTGACTGAACTTTGCGTGTTTGATGTCGCCACCCTATGAAACCAACCGACCCGAGTCGCCCCTGCCTGTGAGGCACCGCAGCCAACCTGCACAGGACGTGCAGTCCAAGCCCAAAGGGAATCACAACCCAAGGATCCAGGTGTACCTGCAATCCTATCCTTGCTCTCCAGCTGCTAATTGGGTAGAAGAGAAAGCTGGCGAGTTTTCTCAATTCTCTGATCTAAAAACTTAGGGTGGCCCTCAGGTTTCCCTGCTGCTGTGTTTGCAGGGCACTGCGCTGTACAGAAAAGCCTCATATTGAAGAGAGAAACAAAGCAGAAACCATCATTACTGCCTGACTCACTGGGAGGGCAGGTCAGTACTCTGCTCACCATCATCTTCTGGGTAAATGAAAGCAAAAGCAGAACAAGTCTGAGATGGAAGGAGCTGCAAGGCAAGCAGTGAGCAGCAGAAGCATCGATGCAGTAATTGCAATCACTGCGTTACAGATCTCTCTAAATGCAACAGAAAAGCCATGGCTAAAAGCCCAAACTAAACCTCGTGCTTAAAACCAATCTGAACCAACCTCATCTTCTGGAAAGAAGCACCCAGACCTGCACAGCTTCGTGTTGGAGCATGCTGAAGGACTTGGGCAAGCACAGAGGCAAGCAGCAGGATGCTGGGCTGCCTGCTTTGCAGCTCTGTATCAACTTCAGGGTGTGATGCAACTTCCATGCAAAATTATTCACTCTATAATTGAAGGTTAATTCAAAACCACCTCTACATTTGGCCCCTTTCATTAAGAGGCACCAGTGCAGGACCTTCTGTTAGCAGCTCTGTGAGCCTGCACAAGGCAAAGAGGACACCCTCCATTTCTCTACCAATCCTCAAGAACCACCATCTGCTTTTGTCTTCTACCTGCCCTCAGACATTTCCAAGCACAGCTGCAGCTTACAAGTGGAAAGTTGAGGTTCTCCCCTTCCGATCACAGCTCAGAAAAGCTATTCTAGCAGCAATCGAACGCAACAGAAGCCCACAAAACCCCAAGCCTCCTTCTCACCTCCTTCCAGGAGCAGCCAACTGCAGTGGGACACAGCCACCCCTCGGCCAGGAGGGAGCAGCAGTGAAGTGACAGCTTGCAACAGAAGAAAGCAGCAGATTCTGTTCTCTGTGCTGTCATCACAGCACGGCCCTTACGCAACAACCGGCAGTGAATAAAGCAGTGCTGGAGGAGCAGACACATGCTACACATGGAAATAAGGCTGACTAAACCAGCATTAAGTGGTACACAAAAGCCCAGCTCCTCCCTCTGTCACCAGCTGATAGGCGACACAAGCTTGCCTCTCAATAAAAACCAAACCTGAATTCCTGTAAAGCACATCAGAAGGGTCCTGTAATTCGTACAGAAAATCAGGGAGCTGCCAACGTGCAAAGCACTGCAAAGACAGCAGGACAGCTGCTCTGGTACTGTAGTGACACCTGCTAACAGCACAAGCAGGACCACAAGCAGGACATCTCCTTCATTTGCAGCCCTCTTAGAAAACAAGCCTTCCTGCTCTGTGTCCCAGGATAACCAAGTTCTGCTCACAGACAGGAAAACCCGACCCCAGGCACTGCTGGCAGAGGGTGCAGCGCTCATCAGCTCATCCAGCACAGCTTCCAGCCCATCTCCTGCACAGCCCAGCTCCCCAGCAGCCATCAGCCCCCGCACAGCTCCTCACACACAGGACAAAAGCACAAATGCACGTGCTTATTGTCATGCCCGTGTATTTAGGGTCAGGTTAAAGCCCTCTAAGAAAACAGCTCTGTTCCTCAGCAGTAAAGATAAAAGCTCTGATCCGATGCCACGCTCAGACCAAAGTCTGGAGACTGCACAGATACATTTTCTTAGCCAAGCACATTTGAGTTTGGCTTTTTAAGCTACACCGGATCGCCTGCTGTACAACATCAACCTATAAAAGATCGATTTAAAACACCAGCTGCATTCTGACACAACGCCAAGCTGTCTGCAGGAAGGAGGGCTCCCCACAGTCCACCGTCATTGAAACCTTCCAATTCCATTATTAATTACTTGTAGTCATCTTACGTACGTTTCAACACACAAAAAAGCAGGGTTGTCTGAGGTCAACTGCAGCAGCTGTATGTAAATGGAGGGTTTCTATTTATATGCTCCCTATAGGATGCCAGGAGCGGGGCTACCCTGTCTGGTGACTCCAGGATGGGTTGGTCTGAAGACACCGAGCGATGCAAAGGAGCAAAGCACACAACTTCCTATCACATGGAAGGCCTTCCCCTCACGCTGCCTTTCAGAACAGAACTTCCTTTGCACAGCTGCAGGCAGATGACTACAACTGGGCTTTTCATCTTTCCAGCTTTACATCTGAGCACTTCCAGAGCACAACCCACAAACATGAACGCCCCTCACACAGCACGAGCTGCTTGCAGTGATGTGCTCTACCCCAAACCGTTACCTTGCTCCTTGTATTTTTAAGACCACACCAATTAAGCACACGCAGTAATTAAGCAGCTTGTCCCGCACCGGGGCAGCACGGAGATGAAGGCTCTCCTTAAGCTCCAGAACCTGTGACAGTGCCCACACTGCACCCATCAGCACATGTGGCACTGAGGGATGCAGCTCAGCAGCTGTGGTGGCAATGGGCAGAGGGCTGCACTCGATCTTAGCACTCATCTCCAACCTTAATGCCTGTACTTCTATGAGCAAAAGGGAGCCAAGAGGGTTTCTGGTACAACCCCCAAGGAGGCTGTGGATGCCCCATCCCTGCAGGCATTCGAGGCCAGTCTGGACGTGGCTCTGAGCAGCCTGGTCTGCTGGTTGGCGACCCTGCACACAGCAGGGGGGTTGAAACTCGATGATCATTGTGATTCTTTTCCAACCCATTCTATAATTCTATTTCTAACACTCGAAGCCTACAGGCTTCCAAGCAGTCCCCCTAACCTTCTTTCGGCAGTTCCCAACGCGTGGAGTCCGCAGCCTTTTCACTTAAACAGCTTCATTTGCATCTTTTTTCGGCTGCTCCCAGTTCCGACACGATTTACATTCAAAGCCTACAAAGACTCCTCATTTCCTCCTGCAAGCTCCCAGCTCGACACGTGGAGCCCACAGACCTCTGAGGGCCTCTCTGTACACGGGGCCTTTTCCCCGGGGGGCAATTTGCAGGGCGGGCGGTGACGATTCGGTGCGGATCCCTACAGCAGCTGTGCGCACATGGCTGGGGCGGGGGGGGTGCCGTTCTAACAGCCGGCTTTCAGCACGCGGCACTTCACGGGGAGCACAACGAAGCCGACGAGCGGCTCGCGGCTGCAGCTAAGGAACGGAAAGCCGTTCGGCTGCGAACCGACGGAACGCTCAGACGGGAACCGCGTCCCACGAAGGGAAGCTTTTGTCCCATCCATAGGAAGGACCGGGAGCGGCGCAGGGCCGAACGCCGGGGTGACCTTGGGCTGCACGGAGGAATCGCGGGGCGGCAAACGGGGCCGGTGCGAACCCCGCCTCACCCAACGGGGCCGCGCGGCGGGGCGGAGCTCCACACAACCCCCCCCCACCCCCCTCCTCCCGGAGCCGCTCCGTTCCCCGCGGCCCAGCGCGGCCCGGCACCGCCCGCCCCGCCGCTCACCCGATCTCGTCGGCGCCTCCCACGCTGTTCATGGCGGCTGTTCGGCGGGCCGCGGGGCCGCGCCCGGCTCTCCCTCCGTTAACGGAAGGTCGCTGGGCCGTCGCTCGGCTTTATCACCAATTCTCGCTTTTCTTTCTCTCGGTCGTTCGCTCAATTCTTTCTTCTCTCTTTCTCTCTTTCCCCCCCCCCCCCCCCCCCCCACCCGAGCTGCGCAACGGCCGCCCCCCGGGCCCGGCCCCCCCCCGCCGCCGCCCGCCGCGCGCTCGCGCTCCCTCAGCGCCGCCAACCGCCGCTGCGCGCGCACCTGCCCTCGCTACGGGGTCTCCGCGGCCGCGCCCAGGGAGGGGCGGAAGTGAGGCGGGGCAGAGCGGGGTAGAGCGGCGCCGCGCGGGGTATGGCGGGAAGGGCGGCCCTCCAAGGGTACCGCGTGCGTGGCCCACGCGGTGCTTGGGGGTGGTGCGGGGGTTTACGGTGTGACCCCGACCTGGTGCGTGGCTGCCGTGATCGCCGTGGCCTTTATACGTGAACCGATGCGCACCGCAATGCCAGCACGCATCTCAGTGCTCACCGCAGCTCTGATATTCAGCACAGCCCCATTGTATGGCTCCGACACATAGAACAGCTCCAGTGCATGGCTCCAGTGCCTGGTGTAACACTGGTGCTTGGCTCCGGTGCACGGTGTAACCCTGATGCACAGCCTGATGCACAGCACAGCACAGTGTGCTGCACAGTGCGGTGCATAACCCCAACCTGTGGCACAGCACAGGGCACAGCACCACGCACAGCCCGAGCTGAACCCTGCCTCTGTGGCACCTCCAATGCATCAGCCCAGCCCAGCTTTGACCCACGGTGGTGCTGCAGCTGCACACAGCACAGAACACAATGCACAATGCACAATGCACACTGCACAGTGCCACTCGCACCCCAGCACTCTCCCCAAGCCCCCACACCCCTCATCCACCCCACTGCACCCAGCCCCACGCATGCACCACCCCTCGATACCCTTTCACCCCAGAGGGGCCCCAGCAGGATGTGCACACTCAGCTCTTTTCCAGCCCTGGCTATTTAAAGCTGGACAGCACTGTGAGCCCTCTCCTCCCCCTGCACTGCGAGCCCTTGGACTTTCTCCCACAGCCATGAGCTCAGGCACAGCTCCCATCTTCACGGAGGGTGAGGACTGCAAGGCTGCATGGCGGGAGGCTACAGCTGCCTACAATGCCCCCGACACCCACCTGGAGATCCTGGGGAAGCCGGTGATGGAACGCTGGGAGACCCCCTACATGCATTCACTGGCAACCGTGGCTGCCTCCAGGGGTAATGGGGACAGCGAGTGGCACTGGGGGGCATTGGTAGCCCAGGGGAGGGGAATGGTGACACTTGTGCTATTGTGTCAGTGGTGACATATTCCTAAAAGGGGCTGGGGGAGGAGGAGGGGGGCTGCCACCTGCCTGCAGTGCTGGCACCGAACTGGGGGGGGTCACAGCTTTGCTACAGGCAATTGTGCATTCCTATTGCAACGGGCGGGGAGTGAGGGGGGAGGCAGGAGAATGTTGGGGGCTTGAGGGGCTTCGGAGGGGCCAAACGCCAGGGGAAGGCTTCCAGTGTTAACCCCTTGCTGCCAGGTGGCCGTGTGCTGGAGGTGGGCTTTGGCATGGCCATTGCTGCCACCAAAGTGCAGGAGTTCAACATTGAGGAGCACTGGATCGTGGAGTGCAACGACGGCGTGTTCCAGCGGCTGGAGGAGTGGGCAAGGGTGCAGCCACACAAGGTCTGTGCTGTGTTGAGCTACGTTGGGTTGTGCCATGCAGTGCTGTGCTGCGCTGTGCCATGCTATGCTAGGTGTGGGGCTGAGCCCCCCCTGTCCTGTTCCCCCCACAGGTGGTGCCACTGAAGGGGCTGTGGGAGGACGTGGTGCCAACGCTGCCGGATGGGCACTTCTCTGGTAACACACTGGGGGGTGCAGGCACTGACCCCTAGGACTGGGGGAGGATGGGGGTCCAGAGGCGTGGAGGGAGGGGGGAGCAAATGTAAAGGGGACAAATCAGAAGATGGCGGTGGAGGGGAACCCCATGGTGGCACGGGGCCTCTCCCAGACGCCCGCTGCTCTCCCTGTGCAGGAATCCTATATGACACGTACCCGCTGTCTGCACAGACCTGGCACACGCACCAGTTTGCCTTCATCAAGGTAGGGCAGCAGGAGCGGGGTGGGAGGTGAGGCAGCTGATCGGTGTGGTGCCTCTGACCCCCCTCTCCAATGCAGGACCATGCCTTCCGCCTGCTGCGGCCCGGGGGGGTCCTCACCTACTGCAACCTCACCTCGTGGGGGGAGCTGCTGAAGGGCAAGTACAGCGACATAGAGAAGATGTTTGAGGTGAGCTGGGGGGGGGGGCCCACCCCCCCCCCCCCCCCCGCACCCCCCTGCAGGTACCCGCCGCGCTGCGAGCTCAGGGGGGCGCATCACCGCCCCCCCCCCCCAGCCCAGCAGCATCACAGATGGCTGAGACCACGGCTGGGTGATTCCCCCCTCCTTCTCTCTTGCAGGAGACTCAGGTGGCACAGCTGCTGGAGGCCGGCTTCAGGAGGGAGAACATCAGCACAGCAGTGATGGAGTTGGTGCCCCCCCCGGGAGTGCCGCTACTACTCCTTCCCTCGGATGATCACCCCCCGCGTGGTGAAGCACTGAACAAAAAGGTTCCTGTGGCTGCAAACCCACAGCGCAGCGTTGACCCAAAGGGGCTCACGCCGTCCTTTACTCTAAAAACAATTGTTTGTGAAATCGGGGGTCCGTTTCCGTGCAGAAGCCAAACGTGCCAGGCCAGGCAGGAGGAATGGGGAAGATGGGGCAGTTTGAGGCACGTTCCTTAGAACTGGATTTCCCATGAGTTTCCAGTGAAAGTTCCCTCATATTTTTGGCTGATGCCCGTTTTAATAAGCTCTGATTCTTACGACCCCCATACAGTTCAATAGTGCATAAATGACGTTCCCCCTCTCTACCCAGAAGGGCTAAAATCCATTAAATCAGACCAAAATACACAAAGGCTATTTCTGAGCAATTTATTTTTGCCTTTCGAAGCGCGCCTGTAACTGCAGACCATATGGGTGCACAGCACAGGGGTTCCCACAACACATCCACTGCCAGACCAATGCAATTCCTTCTGCTGTACACATCGAGGTGTGTTCCATCCCTTGTAGGAATTAAGAAACAAGCAGGCAGAGCTGAGCTCATGGACACCATGAGGCTCCCCTGGATGTGTGCTGGTCCCATAAAGAACCCCAGCACTGACAGCAGCCTGTAGCTGGGGGAGGATCCAGTGCCTGAGCTGCTTTCATCGTGAAAAGGAAAACAAATCCTGCACAGCCCAGCTGCTACAGCAGAGCTGTGTGTTCTACCTGAGCCAGAGGACTTCAGGCCTCCTGCAGCAACCAACCACACTCGGCAGCTGCAACTCCTAACGAAGCCAAAGAGCAACCCAAGCTTTCATGCCTCCCTTCTCCCAGGCATTTATTCCACTCAGGATAAGAGCAATGTATTAAAGACAGGGCAGCATCTGAACCATGTACAGTTTTATTGGAAGGCCTGTGAGAACGGATATCTTTGTGCGTAGAAAGCAAGTAGGTGCCGCAGGCAGTGAGGGGGAGGTCATAAATTAGAGCCTATTTCCTATACCAGATCTGAATCTTCTTCTCTCGTTTGATTTTTTTCTGAAGCTGCAAGATGCCGTACAGCAAAGCTTCAGCCGTGGGTGGGCAACCTGAGGGGGAAAGAGGTGGCATCACCAACTTCATGGCAGCCCTGCTCCAACCCAGCGCCGTGGCTGCTCTCCTACCTGGCACATAGATGTCCACCGGCACGATGCGGTCGCAGCCCCTCACCACAGAGTAGGAATAGTGGTAGTAACCCCCGCCATTGGCACAGCTGCAAAAGGTGTTTGTTAAGCACAGCTCAGTGAAACGTTAGCAGAGGCAAAGGCAAACGTTAAGCTGGCACCCGAGGGTAAGAGGTGCTTCTGTGTGTCGTGGGGACTGAGTGCTGGGATTTGCAGGGGGGGCGTTCAGTTTGAGCACAGAGCTGCGTGCCGCCCGTGGGACCTGGCTGGGAGGCAGGCTGCACGTGTGTTCTGAGCTGAATCAGACCAAGCTCAACCACTTCCATGGCTCTTACAAAGCAGATGTGGAGGAGCCCCTTTGCATACTGCAAAACCTCTTTTTCTTTTTGTCACATCCACAAAGAACGTTTCTAGAACTCGTTCTGTCCCATCCATCCTCAAGTTCAGCTGCACTCAGACCCAGCGGCACCGGGTCAGTTCTGCTGTGCCAACACTGTGGCTTCAGAGCCAGAGATCCACAGATCCCATATTTGATGCTGCACAGTGGAAACATTAAGTCCAAAAGCAAACCCTGAGATTTTGAGCATAGTGAAGCCTACAGAGACAGCCACAAATAAACCAACAGAATCTTTCATCGGAAAGAGCCAGCAGTTCAGAGGGACCTGACAAAATACTCTCCTAACCAAGAAGAAACGTTGATTTACTTTATTTTTATTTCGTTAAATATCAAAGCCTTTTGTACAGGGCTGAAAGGATGGAGGCTCCCTCCCCCTCAGCCACATGGTTTCCCCCACCCAGCTTAAGGTCGTTACCTTCCCATGGAGACCACATAGCGAGGCTCTGGCATCTGGTCGTAGACCTGCAGGACACAGACAGATCAGAGCGCTCTCCATCCACGCACAGCCCCCCTCGAGGCACCCATCCATACCTTTCGCAGGGCTGGAGCCATTTTGTTTGTCAGGGTGCCAGCCACAATCATGACGTCGGCTTGGCGGGGGCTCGCTCGGAACACCACCCCGAAGCGGTCCATGTCGTAGCGGGGAGCTGCCATGTGCATCATCTCCACAGCACAGCAGGCCAGGCCAAACGTCATCGGCCACAGGGAGCTCTGCAGTGGAGACAGAGGGGTCATAGGGTCACACAATGGCCTGGGTTGAAAAGGACCCCAATGCTCATCCAGTTCCAACCCCCTGCTGTGTGCAGGTCGCCAACCAGCAGCCCAGGCTGCCCAGAGCCACATCCAGCCTGGCCTCGAATGCCTGCAGGGATGGGGCATCCACAGCCTCCTTGGGCAACCTGTGCCAGTGCCTCACCACCCTCTGGGGGAAAAACTTCCTCCTAACATCCAACCTAAAGCTCCCATCTCAGCTTAAAAGCATTCTCCCTTGTCCTGTCACTATACATCCTTGTAAGCCATTCCCTTCCTGTTTATACAGGTATCAGAAAGCCATCATGAGATCTCCCCGGAGCCTTCTCATCTCCAAACTAAACAAATCCAGTTCCCTCAGCCTTTCCTCATAGGAGAGGTGCTCCAGCCCTCTGATCATCTTCTGGACCCATTCCAAGAGCTCTGTGTCTTTTTTGTACTGAAGGTCCCAGATCTGGATGCAGTTCTGCACGTGGGGCCTCACAAGAGCCGAGTAGAGGGGGACAATCACCTCCCTCTCCCTGCTGGCCGCTTCTTTTTTAATGCAGCCCAGGATGTAGCTGGCCTTCTGGGCTGCAAGCACGCACTGCTGGCTCATGTCTAGGAGTTGGGGGGGGCACACTGAAAGCAGAGACGCCATGCAGGTGACTGACAGAGCAAAGTGCTTTAAGACAGCGGCAGCGACTCACCCTCCGTGCCCAGTTGATCAGGTCATCGAGTTTGGTGATGACGTATTCCCCCCTGCTCGTGGGGACGTAGGACTTTTTCGGGACAACAGCTGAGCTCTTTGGCTGTGCTTGGATGGAGCTGAGAACAAACAGGTCGCTCTCAGTTATTAAGCACGGAATGCGTTAGCATCGAGATGTCACTTCCCAGGGAACCCACAGAGATGTTCTGCTCCTTCCCAGCAGCAGTGGGGTTTCACCCCGTGAGAGGAGCCTGGCTGGTTACCTGTCTGCATGTTGGGCTGCACATGTCTGATGGAACAGCTGAGCAGGAGGGGATGTCACCGTGCTGGGCCTGCAGGAATGAGAGCCACTGCCACCAAATCTCACCCGGCTCGACGATGCAGAACAAAAGCGATTCGCTCGGGGGGGGGGGGGGGGGGGGAATGGGACCCCCATGGAGCCCCATCTTTTACCCTCAGCCGCCCCCCTCCCCAAAACCCCCCGGCCCCGCTCACCGCCAGGCCAGCACGGCACGCCGCGGGAGGCCGAGACCTGCAAGGAGAGCACACGGAGCTCAGCGAGGAGAGCACACGGAGCTCAGCCCCGGCCAGTGTTGGGGGACGCACCCGGCCGGCGTTCAGCGCGTCCCAACCCGGAGCTGAGCCCGGAGCTGCCACCCAGGATCCCCGCCATCCCGCACCCCGGCCCGGTCCCACCCGCAGCCCCGCACGGCCTCGCCCCGCTCCCCGTCGCCCCCCGGCCCTGCTCACGGCGCAGTGCCGCCATGTCCCGCAGCCCTTCAGGGGACCTCTGGCCGCGGTGCACCGCACACAACGTTCCGGCAGCGCGCGGTCCGCTGCTTCAACGCGCCGGTGGAAAACGAGGGCGGCGCGGGAGGTTCCGCTGGGCGCGGAGCAGCGACAGAAAGCAGACGATCGGCGGCTGTGTATCCGAGGTTCCGGTGCGGCCCCGAGCGCAGCGCCCTCTCCGAGCATATAAATGTATATAAAAAAAAAAAACAAAACAGGAAACAAAAACCACACGGCCGTCCCTGGGTGGGCTCGAACCACCAACCTTTCGGTTAACAGCCGAACGCGCTAACCGATTGCGCCACAGAGACCGCGCTGCCGGCGCTGCCCCGCGACCGCCGCTGTGGGAATGCGGGCAGGCGGGGCGCTGCGGGAACGGACGGAGCGGTGCGGGGCGCCACCGCCTCTTCCGCCCCGCGCGAACCCCCCTGCAGCCCCCCTCCCCCAACAGCGGAGTCAGCTGACAGGAAGTGGGGGGCCGCCGCTATCACGCAGCCGAAATAGCTCAGTTGGGAGAGCGTTAGACTGAAGATCTAAAGGTCCCTGGTTCGATCCCGGGTTTCGGCACAACGTTTTGGCGCCGCCGCGAAGGGCGATTCACTTCACCTCCCCCAACCCCATTTTATTTCTTAACGCAGCGCTCAGCTTCGAGTTTATTGACACGCACCACCTTTCGCTGTGATGCCCCAATTAAGCATTCTATAACTGATAACCGCTGTCACACAGCTGCAGCACCATTAAACTTCAGCTGGAGCAGGGCTTAAGTACAAATCAGAGAAAGAAACACGACTGAAAGCGTGCCTGGAAAACATTATGTAAAGACAGGCTGCAAAATAGGGCTGCTTTTAGAAAGGAAAACAAAAAAAAAAACAGCTTTTGCTTTTTAAACACACACAGACCTCATTGCTTCCCCCCCCCCGGCCACAAAGAGCCAGGAATGAGTTTGCTTCACTCAGAACCAATTTTATTCCTCACACCTTTAATGACAGATAAAGGAAAAGAGCCAACCCTGTCCCAGCCTTTGGCTCCGCAACGCCAGCCTGCGTTCTTCTGAGGACAGCAGAGGCTTCTTTCCTACCGAGTCCACATCAAGGGCACAGAGCAGCAGCACACACACAGCTCACAGCACTTCCAGCAGCACAGAGGTGAGAACAAGGACTGTAGGTACAACTGTGCGTGGTGGTAATGCAATGCAGCACTGTCACAGCCACAGCTTTGGAGATGTAACAAGGCTGGGGTGTAATTGGGAAAGCTTTTGCTGCCGTTCACACGCTGTCTGCAGCCATCAGCTCAGCCTGAAGCCTCTTCCTCTCCAGAATTT